GGCGCCCTAATTTTTTAGGGTTCCTTGGAGTTTTTTATAAGGGGCGATTCAAGTCCCACGTGGTTTGGAGGCTCCTAGAGAGGGCGGTTGCTTTTCTCTCTCTTCTCCCATCCCACAGAAAAGGAATCTTTCGTGGGAAGAAAGTCCAAGACACCAAAGGAGTGTTGTTGGTTCCAGAAGGTGTTTTGTTTGTTCTTGCTACATTTTTTATTTGTTTCTATACCCTTTTGAGAAGCATGGAGGGACACAGAGTTGAATATAAGCCCGGAAATGAAATGGGACCTATGGGAGGAGGTGCTGGAGACCCCTTCGGAGCTAGGACCATTACTACAGTTAGGTTGGACGGTACAAACTACTTGGAATGGTCCCAATTTGCAAAGATGGCCATTGGAGCTCATGGAAAATTGGGGTATATTACTGGTGAAGAGGTGAAACCTGAAACTGGCAACTCCCGGTGGGTGCAAGAAAATTATATGGTAATGACATGGTTGTGTAATTCCATGTTGCCACATATAAGTAAAAATTTTTTATGGGCAAACACTGCTAAGGAGATATGGGATGGGGTTGCAGAAACCTATTCACAAAGGGAGAATGTTGCTAGGGCTTATCAACTGAGAAATCAGATTATTGCTACAAGGCAGGGAGATAGATCTGTTGCAGCCTATTTTTCAGTCCTTAAGACCCTGTGGCAGGAGATCGACCATCTAGAGACTTTTGCTTGGGAAACCACCAAGGATGCAACTACCTATCAAAGACACTTAGAGAAGTATAAGGTGTTCGACTTGTTGGCCTTAACCCTGAGTATGACATTGCACGACAGCATCTTCTTTCCAGGGACGGTGTCACTCTCTCCCAAGCATATGCCTTTGTGTCAAGAGAGGAGTGCAGGAGGGATGTAATGATGAAGAATCTCATTTCTGATTAGTCCACTATGGTAAGTGTTGTGAAATCTAAACAGAATGGCAATGAAAACAATAAGACAAAAGGGACTTGGTTTGTGACTACTGTAAGAAGCCTAAGCATACAAGAGATACTTGTTGGAAGCTTCACCCACATCTTGTGCCGACCAAATTGAAGAATAAGAAAGGAAATGCGCACATGGCAGTTACTGGTGACACTCCGGCCCCCCCTACTACAGCTGCTTTGGAGTCCGTTGCAGCTACTGCAGTAAGGGCCGAGCTTGAGAGGTTTGGGTTACTTCTGAATCAGAGGGATACAGCTAGTTCCGGTTCAGTTGCAAGCAGACAACAAGGTACAGGTAGCACAGGTGGAGCTTACTCTACCTCCTTTGCCCACACAGATAGTTCACATGTCACTGCAAACTATGTTTCTGCTTCAGGTAAGGAGAGATCTCCTTGGATTATAGACTTTGGAGCCTCAGAGCACATAACCCATTGCTCCACTATTTTCTCCTCTTACCAGCTCTGTTCTGGCAGAGATAGGGTCTCCACAGCTGATGGATCCCATGTTCCTATTGCTGGGAAGGGATCTGTCAAGATTAATTATTCCATTTGTTTACCCTCTGTCCTCCATGTTCCTAGATTGAGCACTAATTTGTTATCTGTTAGTAGTTTGACTAAAAATCTGAACTGCTCAGTAATTTTTTCTCCTGGACGCTGTATTTTGCAAGATCTAGACTCAAAGAGGACGATTGGGAGTGGTCGTGAAGTGAATGGAATCTACCTCCTAGATGCTCTTCCTCTTCACCAAAGCAATCATGTTTGCAGGGACAGTGAGTCAAAATCTGTGGATCAGATTATGCTTTGGCATAATCATCTGGGTCATTTGTCTTTTTCTTCTTTGAGTTCTTTGTTTCCAAAACTGTTTGAGTATGTGAGTCTGTCAAGTTTGAAGTGTGAAGGTTGTTAACATGGAAAGCATTGTAGACACTCTTTTAAACCTAGTAATAAAAGATGTTCTTCTCCTTTTGATGTTATTCATTCGGATGTGTGGGGCCCTTATCATGTTCCCTCTATGGGCGGTCATCGCTATTTTCTCCTATTTGTGGATGATTTCTCTCGATATTCCTGGATTTACCTGATGAAATCCTGCGATGAAGTACCATCCTTGGTGAGGCAATTCCACCAGATGGTACTAACACAGTTTGGAACGAGAATAAAGATATTCAGATCTGACAATGCTAGAGAATATTTTGAGAGACATCTTGCCTCATATCTGTTGGAGTATGGTGTTGTCCATCAGAGTAGTTGCTCCTACAGTCCACAGCAGAATGGTGTTGCAGAGAGGAAGAACAGACACATTGCTGAGACGGAAAGAAGCATGATGATCACAGCTACAGTTCCGATTCGTTTTTGGGGTGATGCAGTTCTCACGACAATATATCTGATTAACAGGGTGCCTTCTCGTATACTTGGATTCAGCACTCCATTCAGCCTTCATTTTCCTCAGGGGGAGATTTTCATATTCCTCTAAGGGTGTTTGGGTGTGTCTGCTTTGCGCATATCCTTGGTCCTTACCGTTCGAAGCTTGATCCCAAGGCAAAGAAATGTGTCTTCCTTGGATATGCAGAGAATCAGAAAGGGCACCGCTGCTATGATCCAGTCTCTGGGAACTGGTATGTTACTATGGACATTACCTTTTTTGAATCTACGTACTTCTTCTCAAGGAATCCTTCTCAGGGGGAGTGTTTTGGGGAAGTAAGTCAGAAGTCTATCCCTCTCCCAGTTCCAGTCCCTGTGTCTACTCCTGTGCTTGACCACCACCCGATGTCACCTACCTTGCCACCTCCTTTGCATTTCGTCTCACAGCATTACTCATGGCAGAGACTTCATAAGGCGGTTGATTCCACTACAGCAGAACTCACACCACTTCCTGTCGATCCCTTGGAGACTCCAGATTTGGCTGATACGGATTCAAGTATTCCTCTTGATCCCACTACTATTTCAGTTCCCATTGGTCCCACTAACACTGTTACAGATAACCTTGATCTCCCTATTGCTCTTAKAAAAKGRAAGAGAAAGTGCACTGCTCATTGTATYTCACAGTACTTATCCTACAGTGGACTTTCTCCTTCCTACCGTGCTTTTCTCTCTCCAAACCTGAGTGGAAGACAGCTATGCAGGAAGAGATGGAGGCTTTGATTAAGAATCAGACATGGGAGATTGTAGACCTACCAGAAGGCAAGGAGACGGTTGGATGTAGATGGGTTTACACAGTAAAGTATAAGGCAGATGGAAGTATAGAGAGGTACAAGGCAAGACTTGTTGCGAAAGGGTACACACAGACCTATGGCATTGATTATCTAGAGACATTTGCGCCAGTTGCAAAGATGA